AACAATTTATTAGTTTACGATATGCTATTGTGATACACAACAGTAAGGACTCAAGAATTAGCCCCATGGCTTCATCACTACCACTGGTATGTATCATGTGTCAGAAAAAGATTTAACGATTTTTTCAGGAGTTTCTAGTTTTTTATCAGGCCTACAAACAGCAAAACAAATCCCCAAGAGACAAATCCCATTAACAGCCACATGCTAATATAAAGATCAAGGAGCACCGCACTGAGGACTCCCTGTGAATTGGCACTTGTCTTTTCAGTGCTACTGACAAAAGACTCCTTGGATTATAGTTATTTGGGAATTTTAATAATTTGGAAGGCATGTACAATACAAGTGACCTTCAGAAAAATAAGGGTGGAGAGAGGCATAGAGAAAGTCTGTTATTACAATATTGGCACAACAACAGCAACTTGACTAGAAACAGAAATCATCTTCATGTTTATTTTCTTAGATCCAGACCAGTTTATCTGCCACTCACAATGAATTTTTTCTTTTTCCTTTCAGCTAGGGCCAAGGACAGTCCAAGGACTGGGTTCTCAATAAATTCAACTTTTAAAAGAATAGTCTGGGGGCCGGCTCCGTGGCCGAGTGGTTAAGTTCCCGCGCTCCGCTGCGGCGGCCCAGGGTTCAGATCCTGGGCGCAGACACGGCACCGCTCATCAGGCCACACTGAGGCGGTGTCCTACATCCCACAACTAGAAGGACCGGCAACTAAGATATACAACTAGGTACGGGGGGGTTGGGGAGATAAAGAGGAAAAAAAAAAAAAAGAATAGTCTGTAAAAACAAAAGTTCTACCTGAGCCCTGTGATTCAGATTACTGAACTTTTGATGTGAGAAAAATAAATACTACAAATCAACAGAGGCTAGTCTAATAGCAAAATACACTATTACTCTAGAATCAACCTTCAAACATTCAGTAGCCAAGAATCTTCTCTCTACTTCTTGATTCCTAACTATTGGTCATTTCACTGTCAATTATAGAACTTCCATTCAAGGTGAGAAATAGCAGAAGGAAAAAAATTCTAATTACTGTCCTATCTACAAATAGTTATCCATAGGAATTAACCCACTTTATAAATTTCTTCTGGTAAATTAACTTCCTTCAGCAAATAACTAATAATTTTTTAAAAGCCTCAAACAAGAAAAAGAAATTTGCCTTTCTAAAAATATATAATTCATTTCAAAGAAAGAGACTTTTTGTTACTATTATTATTTTTTAAATTCTCTATCTTCAAGTTCCATCTTTCCTGGTCATATCTAAACCTCATTTGAACTCCTATAGGCCCAGCCTGTGGAACATTCCCTGGCACTTGCTGTTATCATATACTGCCTTGTAATATTAGTTGGCCTTCCTGATACTCACATCTTATCTCTCCAATCTGACTATCAGTCATTCATTCAAAATTTACCAAGCTGGGTCCACCACATACCCGGCACTGCCCCAGGGCCTGGGGATATAAGTGAACAAGAGAAGCCACAGTCATACCTTCAAGGTACTCCAGTCTGGCGGGAGAAATCTAAACATGGTATTAGTGCCCAAAGGGGTAAGAAGAGGCATAAGGAGCAACCAGTTTACCTGTCTGTGTTAGGGAAGTTTCTCAAACTGAGTCTTTAAGATGCGTAAGAGCGCATCAGGTTGGAGAAGATACATTCTAGATAGAATTAAGATCCTTAAGGCAGGCACACTTCTTTCATACTTTTAAAAATTCTAAACAGGCCTAACAAATTGCTTGGCACATAGCTGATGCCTAACAAATATTTGTGGTTCTAAATTATTCATGCTAGTCCACGTGTGTGGATAATTGAAGCTAATCTATACCTCAAATAGGCTTGTGAACTATTTACTGGTTTCAAATGTCATCAGTGACCCCATAGATACAAATAATCAAAGTCTATATGAACAAATATATTTGTACAGCTTCTGTTCACTAAGAATAGCTTAGCTTCTCTTTTGCTGTAATTTTTTGTTTTTAAAGCATTTTCACAAATATAGCCTCATATAATAAAAATTTTAAAAATTAAATACTCCTGGGGCTGGCCCTGTGGCCGAGTGGTTAAGTTCGCACGCTCCGCTGCAGGCGGCCCAGTGTTTCGTTGGTTCCAATCCTGGGCACGGACATGGCACTGCTCATCAAACCATGCTGAGGCAGTGTCCCACATGCCACAACTAGAAGGACCCACAACAAAGAATATACAACTATGTACTGGGGGGCTGTGGGGAGAAAAAGGAAAAAAACAAAATCTTTAAAAAAAAAAATTAAATACTCCTTTTAAGATTTTTTAATCTCCTCTTTTCTGATGGAAAACACATACACGTCGAGAAGCTTACAAAGCTTAAATGACACCCAGCGAGCAAGGAGCTTGGCCCTAGGTATTCTAAATCTGAATACAGGGTTCCTATCAGTTCTCCACGGATTTAAAGCAAACTCAAATCAGTCTAGCCATGCAAACTTCACAGGCTAAACAACTATTTAATATTTTGCTTTTAAAAATACTATCTATGTTCATCCACACTGTCTTCTAGCCACAACCATCCTCCCTACGCTCCACCAACCCTACCAATACACACATAATTCTTTTCCAGGTCAGAGTTAAGAAGCAAAAACTCCAACCCAGGGTATCCTGAACATTATTTGGGTCTCTTTCATTTGTATAGGTTGTGCCTTTTGTAGTAATAATTTTTTAAAAAAAGCAACCAAGTCTTTTATATTTATACACATAAAATTAGTCTCGAGCATATAATACAATCTGATAGTTCCAGTCTACCTGAGAATAGAGACTACATACTTCTATTATTCACATAATTAACACTTCACATTTGGGTCTTATGTGGAACAAGCCTGTGGAAAAGTTTAGAAAGTCAGTCATTTTCCTTGTTTGGGACTTTAGAATTATGGACTTCAGAAGTAGGACATCAGAGATCATTTCATTCCATACCCTCAAGCTACAGATGAGAACACAAGAACCAGGTAAGTGAGATTAAGTGACTGGCCCAAAGTCATAGAGCTAACTAGTGATAAAACTGTGTACTGTATAGAACATTAATCTGTTCACTCCCATTCTGGTATTCTTTACTTGACTTCACATATACTGATAACTTTCAATTCTCCATGTGATCCACTTTGTGGATTTGTCTATGAAAACTTCCTTTCCTCCTGCTACCCAGCTACGTCTCTCACTTCTACAGATGTGTACCAAAGAAAATGATGCATAATTAGGAAATGTAATCGCTTAAGCAAACCATATTAAGGAAGGGAAATCGTCTATAAAGAAAAGCATGAAGGCACACATTGTTCTGCTCGAACACAACTACAGACATAAACTGGATTTGAAAAGATTCTTTTAGCATTATATTCCTAAGGGCTGAAGTTTTGTAGCCAGAGGGTAAGATATAATTATGTGTGACATGGGGATAGATTTTTCTTTCTTTTCTATTGATAGTTTGAAGCTATAATATACTTCTCATATGCTATTAAGAAATCACAGGGGCCAGCCCAGTGACGCAGCAGTTAAGTGCGCACGTTCCGCTTTGGCGGCCCGGGGTTTGCTGGTTTGGATCCCGGGTATGGACATGGTACTGCTTGGCACGCCATACTGTGGTAGGCGTCCCACATATAAAGTGGAGGAAGATGGGTACGGATGTTAGCTCAGGGCCAGTCTTTCTCAGCAAAAAGAGGAGGACTGGCAGCAGATGTTAGCTCCGGGCTAATCTTCCTAAAAAAAAAAAAAAGAAAGAAAGAAAGAAAGAAATCACACCTTGGGGTCGGCCCCATGGCTGAGTGGTTAAGTTCGCGTGCTCCGCTTCAGTGGCCCAGGGTTTCGCCAGCTTGGATCCTGGGCACGGACATGGCACCGCTCGTCAAGGCATGCTGGGGCAGCGTCCCACATGCCACAACTAGAAGGAGCCACAACTAAAAAATATACAACTGTGTACCCGGGGGCTTTGGGGAGAAAAAGGAAAAATAAAATCTTTAAAAAAAAAAAATCACAGCAATAACTAAATTTTTAACAGGATAAAACATAAAATAAAAACAAGAGAGAAATAAAGCACCAACTTTAACATACTACTTCTCCTTGTCCAAGAGTGTAAAATGCCTGGAAGCATCAAAGCAATCCCTTTCCTCACGTTCACACTTATTCACGTTTATTGTGGGAAAACTACATTTCTTCTTCCTCTTAGGAAGGGCTGTCATCAGCACAGTAGCACCCAGGTCACTGCAATTCTCTCCTAATGAAAACCTTAACCTCTTGACTCAGTCATTCAAGAAGGACTTAGTAAGGACCCACTCTGTGTCAGGCAGTCTGCTAAGTGAAGGGGACACCTCAACCAATAAGTCATCACCCGTGCTTTCCACGAGTTCATCTAATGGGCTAATTCCAGAGAAAAGCCCAAGACTTCCTTTATTCTACAAAGATTTACTAAGTGTCAGGCACCAGGGACAGAAAAAGATACAGAGGAACTTTTAAAAAGTAAGAGGTCTTTGCAAAATTTACTAAACAACTTGCTCTTTTGGATTATTAAAATTACATATTCTTCTCTAAGAATGCCAATCATCAGAAGTTGACTGTAAAGGCTTTTGATGATAACACCTAACCAAATATTTTGGTCAAAGGCATTGTTTCCTTAGTCTTACTACTTTGGCAGGCAAGGCAGATACTATCCTGGACCAACACATTTTTTTTTCTTAAAGACTGGTGCCTAAGCTAACAGCTGTTGCCAATCTTTTTTTTCCTTCTTCTCCCCACAGCCCCCCAGTACATAGTAGTATATTCTGGTTGTAGGTCCTTCTAGTTGTGCTATGTGGGACGCCACCTCAGCACGGCTTGATGAGCGGTGCTAGGTCTGCGCCCAGGATCAAACCAGCAAAACCCTGGGCCACCAAGCAGAGCGTACAAACAACCACTCAGCCAGGGGGCCGGCCCTTGGACCAATACATTTTTCGTTATTTATTATAAGATCCATATTACAGGAATATGGTTGATCTTACCAACAAACTGAGATGAGTTGTTTCCTATGCAGACAGATGCTTCAGGTAGGATGTACTATAAGCCTCTAAGGTCAAACATATGACAAATCCTGTTAAACTTTCTTGCCACCATAGAGTACATCAAAGTAGTGTAGGCAAGCCTTCATGATGACATAGCACCAGGCCAAGTTTTCAGGGTGACAGGTCTCTGCTTTTCCTTCTCCCTTCCACAAAAAGTACAAAAGGTATCAATTAGTACACAAGTCATCTGGTAAATATTCCACTGTCCTCTGAGTTTTTTCTCCTTGAAATAAATCCAGGAAACCAATCCTTATAAGAATGAGTATCCCATTAATATTTTTAATATTATTATTGGTAGTAGTGGTGATAGCAACTGCTAGCTTTGCAGTTCACAAAATACTTTCAAATATATTATCTCATTCCCTGAAAAAAAATGGAGAGGGGATAAAAGGAAACATCAAAGGCAACTATCTCAAAAATAAAAAACCAAACCCAGTTTAACTGGAATTGAAAAGCAAGCATTTTCAATTCTACCAAAAGGTCAAGAAGTGATTTCTATCAAAAAAGGATAGGATTGGGGCCAGCTGGTGGCGCATCGGTTAAGTTTGCATGTTCCCTTCGGAGGCCTGGGGTTTGCCGGTTCAGCTCCCAGGTGGGGACCTACACACCGCTTGTCAGGCCATGCTGTGACAGGCATCCCACATATAGGGTGGAGGAGGCTGGGCACCTCCCAGATGCCCAGGTTAGCTCAGGGCCAGTATTCCTCAGCAAAAAGGAGGAGGATTGGTGGCGGATGTTAGCTCAGGGCTAATCTTCCTCAAAAAAAAAAAGTATAGGATTGACTCTAGCAAAGCAAAATCACAAATTTCCCCTTAAATTATGCCCTTAAATGCTAGGCCTAATTGATTCAATTTGTAAATGTTGAGAAAATAGTCTCAACAAGAATCTGATACTATTAAATCTTTGTTACTCCAATCCCTTTCCAATGCTTTGCCCACAGTTAAAGGCTTAATAAGGAATACTTATTGATGAGAAAGCTGCCCTAGAAAGACAAACTGACATGACAACACTCAGTATTTTTTAAGTACCTTTTAAAGATTTAACTATCATTTATTGTGCATCAGTCAAGTACCAAGCACTGGGTTAGAAACATCCACATAAATCATCTCATTAACCTCTTGAGCCATGCCCAGATACTCCTGGTTCCCCAATACCAAATCAACTGGATCCCAATACTAAATAGTTCTAACACTGACAACCTTGATCCCACCTAATTAATCCCCAGAACTCAAGAGGAACTCAATTCCTACTGGAACTCAGCTCCTCACTCTCTCTCACAGTCTTGGCATTTTTTAAAGCTTTCTACTAGGTACTGCTCACAAAAAAATCCTTGTGGGGCTGGCCCCGTGGCTGAGTGGTTAAGTTCACACGCTCTGCTGCAGGCGGCCCAGTGTTTCATTGGTTCGAATCCTGGGCGCAGACATGGCACTGCTCATCAAACCACGCTGAGGCAGCATCCCACATGCCACAACTAGAAGGACCCACAACGAAGAATATACAACTGTGTATTGGGGGGCTTTGGGGAGAAAAAAGCAAAAAAATAAAATCTAAAAAAAAAAAAAAAAATCCTTGTGCCTGTTTTAAGTTCCTAACTCCAGAATAAACACCACTCATCTCACATACGGCACATGGCAATAACGGACATGATCTAAAAACAAGTACTCTCTTGGATCACACTAGCTAAAGAACAAACCCAAAATGCTAATAAAATTGAATTTTAGCTGGGCAGAGGACATTGGATTTTAATAGTCTTCCCAACCTTGAGACTATTTTCTAGTCCTCTGAACACAGAAAGCCTTCTCTATTTGAATTAACTGCAGAAGGCAAGTCTGACCCAAGAGTCCCAACTCTCATACTCATCAGAGAAAACTGGGAGAAGAAGAAAAACATATTCCAACTGGCATGACCACATTACAATGTTAACAACACATTACTCACCATTGTGCTACATGAAAGAACTTGCAAGTGGGCAAGGAACGTTCAGGAAGCCAAGGAAACAAACAAAACTCTCCCAGTCCTCAAAACACAAACACATCCAAATGCCAAAGCAGGTCACACTGTCCAGTTTATACCCAGGTATATGAGTGGGTGGAGAGGGAGCGTGAAGGGCGGGGGGAAGAGAGGAAAAGCATTACCGGGCAGGTGTGCTTGTCAGCATCAAGAGAATTTATTTCTCAGGTTTATCAAGAACGTTTTGTTTTGTTTTGTTTTGTTTTGTTTGAGGAAGATTAGCCCTGAGCTAACATCTACCACCTATCCTCCTCTTATTTGCTGAGGAATACTGGCCCTGAGCTAACATCCATGCCCATCTTCCTCTTTTATATGTGGGACGCCTGCCACAGCATGGCTTGCCAAGCGGCGCATAAGTTCGCACCCGGAATCCAAACCCGCAAATCCCAAGCCACTGAAGCAGAGGACATGAACTTAAACGTTATGCCACCTGGCCAGCCCCTCAAGAACCTTTTTTTTTTTTTTGAGGAAGATTAGCCCTGAGCTAACTACTGCCAGTCCTCCTCTTTTTGCTGAGGAAGACTGGCCCTGAGCTAACATCCATGCCCATCTTCCTCTACTTTATATGTGGGACGCCTACCACAGCATGGCGTGCCAAGCGGTGCCAGGTCCGCACCTGGGATCCGAACCTGCGAACCCCAGGCTGCCAGGAAGCAGAACGTGCAAACTTAACTGCTGGCCACCACCGGCCCCTCAAGAACCTTTTTAACAAAGAAACTGGGGGTCCTACCTATTTTTATAACTTGACTTATTTACGTAATCACAGAGAATATGCAATATATGCAAGTGGCAGCATAATGTAATAACATTCCCTTTGGAATCCATCAGATCTACACCTAATGCTGGCTCTGTCACTCTCTTGCTGTGTAACCTAGGGTAAGTTATTTAATTTCTCTGTGCCTTAGCAGAGACCACATCTGATATTCACTGTGGTATCCTCAGCACCTTAAACAACGCCTAAATATTCTGGATGAATTAGTAAATATTTTACTAACAGTAATAAATATTTTGGAAGAATTAATCTGTAAACAGGTATAAGAACATCTATCTTATGAAACCGTTATAAGTATTAAATGAGGTGATATAAAGAAAACTTAGTATAACTCAGGGTAGGGTCTCACTATTAATAGCAAAGTTTTCTTCCTTTACTCCCCAGCCAGGCCAGAAGTCAGAAGAGTCGTGGCAAGGATTAGCATGGGATAAGAGTTGCAGAAGCCAAGCCCGGGAAGATGATTACTACCAGGGACCTAGTCAGAAAATCCAGGAATATAGGGCCGGCTCCGTGGCCAAGTGGTTGAGTTCACGCACTCCGCTGCGGTGGCCCAGGGTTCGGATCCTGGGCGCTGACATGGCACTGCTTGTCAGGCCACGTTGAGGCGGCGTCCCACATCCCACAACTAGAAGGACCTGCAACTAAAAATATACAACTATGTACGGGGGGGTATGGGAAGATAAAGCAGAAAAAAGAAAAAAAGTCCAGGAATATTTAATCTTGGCAGATGAAATTAACTAACAGTGCCAGACCCTTAGAGTAGGTACACAGTAAATGTTAGCTGATCCAGAAAATGCTATTTTGAGTCTTCAGGTATCTGTTACCAGATACATAAAAGCCTGGCAGAAAAGAAAAGAGGTCAGCATGAGTTGCATCTTAAATATATCTGACTATATACTGAAAAGCCAAATATAAAGGATTTTTTAGAAGACTATTCGATTCTCTAAAAACTTTCCATTAGCAAAAATACTCTATTGATTCACAATATTTACGGCCTTTTTACGTAACAAACTCTGTGTAAGTAAATAGCGTAAATAAGCTTGAAAGATGTGGGTCCAAAACTCCCCTCCTCCCTTCACTCCAGAAAGGCTAACAGGGCTTTTGAGGCAACTTCACCTACAGCTAGGAGCCAAAGCAATCTGTCTACAGGCACAGGGAAGGACTATTTCATCTTCAAAAGCCGGGGTGGAAGAGCACATTCCATTAAATCCAGAATCCGAAGAAATCTTTTTCCTTGACTATGAAGAATTGAATCTCAGAAGAAATGCTCTAAGAAACCCGGGTCACTGTTGCATGATGAGCCGGACAGACAGAAGAAGACACATTTAGTGTCTAAATATAAGGAAAACCTATGCAGAACTGAAAACAGCTTGTGGTTAAACCTCATCATAATGTGGTCTTCAACTTCCCATTTCACTTCCAGGCGTCTGCTCTGTTTTTAACCACTTGACCCACCTCCTCTTAAGCAATATGATATAACAGAAAGAGCACTGAAAAACAGTCAATAGAATAGGCTCTACACCAAGTGCTTCTGCTTATGAGGCATGCAGTCTTGAAGCAGTCACTTAAACTCTCTGTATCCCCTATTAACTGAGAACGTTGGGCTAGACTCAGTGCTCTGCAGAGGTTTCCACCACGGCATCCCTTTGGAGAGCAGATGTGTCAGAAACCAACCAAACCTAGCTCGCCTACTGCTACAACCCAGACTGAAATCACGTGCATTGTTCTTCTCTATTCCTTTCCCACAAAAGCAGTCACCAAATTCGATTCATTTTTCTTTCGCCATTATCATCAGCCCTGCAGACTCCTTTCCCAGGAGTATTACACAGCCCTCTAACTGGTCTCTCCTCCTCCATTTTACACCACACGGCTGAATCAATTTTCCTAAAATACTAATTTACACATGCAGTTTCCTGCTCGGGGATTTTTCACTATAAAGATAAACCAGACTCCTCTCCCTGAGATTTAAGGCCCTCTCCAGTATATCTAACTCTCCAACTTTATTAGTCTCATTGCTCTCCTAGGTGAAACACCATGTGACGCACTGTCTACTTGTCCTGCCCCCAAAACAAGGTGGGCTCAGCTCGCTGTTCTCCTGCCCTGAATGTTTCCCCTCTATACTTACTTGGTCTTCTCTCATCTCTATGGCCTAGATTATCTTAAGGGTAAGACTTTTTCCCTACCACTCCCTCTAAACTTTTATATAACTCTATACAACTGTACTCCTCACTTGACACTATTTGTCTTTTTTGCAGATATTCAGTCTTCATAGCTAATTATTAGTTGATGACTTTAACTCTTTCTATACCTGAGGCCTAACTTTTCAGAGGGCAGATGTCAAATAAAATGTTTGCTGTTGAT